TACGCCTACGTCGTACTAAACTGTGTTCGTTTTATGACAGGTTTTGATAATGCCAAACCGCCGTGACAATAACAAGGTTAAAGTGAGCAAAACCAAGGCGAAGGAACATGGCATGATGATTTGAGAACCAAGAACCAAGAATCAAGAACGAAGAATTAGAATTCTATTGAGTCGGTCTTAATGTGATCAAGACCGGCACAAACTTTCAAATCTTGGCTCTCTAGGCTTCTCTCATCAAATATCTTTTGCATATTCAAAAATGTTTCTCTTAAGTTTTAAACTGCATAAAAACACTTGGAGTTCGCCCAAACCAAAAACCAAGCCATCCGGCGTTCGGTCTTCGGAAACCGGCGTTCGGCTTTCGATTATCAGCATTGGTTTTTGGCGTCCGAACCAACCAAGTGGTTTTCAACTTCTAATGATTAGTTTTTACTTATGGGCATGTTTAAATAGTTCTCCAACAAAAACGCTTCAAAAACCACCTTTCATTTTTGGTCGTTTAGTGAAAACCATGCGAAACGGCGTAAACTTGGCTAGCCGTGGTTTTCAACTAAATGACGTGGTTTTCAAAATGTTTTACTTGATTTCTTAGCAAAATACAATAAACAAACATTTTCAATACTTGGTTTTTATTTTGGAGAACTTACATTTTTGACATCGGCTAACGGCTCACTAAACCAACCATGGGTCTAGCTAAACCAGCCCAACAGCGATGTTGGTGAAACCAACAGCGCTGTCTGGCTTGGGTGGCTGAAAACCATGGTTTGGCGTTAAGTCTTCCAACAGCGATGTTGGATGTTAGACATCGCTGTTGAGCCAAGGTTGGATTTCCAGAAACTTCTGGAACAGCGATGTAGGCTTCCCTACAGCGCTGTCCAACCTAAGCCAAAAATACAGTGCATTGGCAGAAAGTTTTTGGACAGCGATGTTGACCCAGCAACAGCGCTGTCAGGCCAAACTTCCATCTTCAAAAGTCAGACCTAAACAGCGATGTTCAAGTAATGAACATCGATGTAGGGACCTGACCGTTGGAAGAAATTTAAGGCTAAAACTTTCCTTGTTTGGAAGTCAACAGCCAAAACAGCGATGTAGGGGTATTGGACATCGCTGTTGGCATGACCGTTGCTTCCCAATTTTTAAAAACCAAGCCTAGAACAG